TCAGAATTAGAGGAAAATTGGTAGCAGGATTTTGCAGACTCTGCTTCCTGACTTGAGGTTTTGGGCTCCAGCTTGGAGAGCTTTCAGTGCTCAAGCTGCTCTCTGTAAAGCAGTGTTTGAGAATTAACAAGGCTTCAAGGTGCTGCATTCCTTTACACTTGGAATTTGCCAGCATGACTGTATTTTAACCACTGAGTACTCAGTGGTGTGGTGGTGGGAGCTGGCAGCTTCACGTTTGGTAATGATATCAGAGAGTGAGGGGGACCTCCTCATCCCAGCTGTTAACTCCATTTGTGCACTGCGAATGAAACCTCCTGTGGTTGGGTTGTTCACTGTAACTCCTTATCTGAGCCTTTATAATCCTATCCCAGTAACTGAGGTTTTTTGCTGCCTCCAACAGAACAGATTGAAGAAAAAGCTGTTTATGTAGCTGAACCAGCTCCTGTAGGAGTCAGTTTGCTTGTAACTAGAAATAATACCGTATATTAAAAAGGTAAGCAGCTGTAACCTACATCTTAAAGAGCTTGTCAGGTGTACCCTGAATTATTAAGTACCTTAAATTATTAAGACTGAATAGGTAAAATATTACTCACAATTACTGGCACTTTACTGCCTATTTCGCCTTCAATCTAAGCTGTTCAGGCTGCTCAGTTCCACTGTGCTTCTTTCCATACCAGTAAGGTGGGGGTGTTAAGAATGTCAGCATTAGAGAAGTGTTGGGGGAAATAACCAACAGAAGGAACAAAAGCTCACCTGGTTTTTTGGTTGGTGTGTTGCATGAAGTTAGCATGGCCTTTAAGCTGAAGCAGGGTGCTGCAGTAACTTGCTTTATGCCAAATTTACAAACGTTCATTTCTGAAATCTGTTTGTTTTTTTTTTCCTTTGGGGATATGAAATGTCCCTTTGGTTCATTTTGGGGAGGAAAAAAAAAAAGGAGGCAGGGGTGTCAGGAGTTGAGAAATTGTTTATAATAACTTTTTCTGTGGCAGTGCCCAGAAAAAAAAAGCCCTTCCAGGTTTTGAGTTGGTAGGAGAGGAGGTGGAAGCCAAGGAAATGGTTATAAATCTGTCCTTGTTGGTTGCTGTGTGCTGGAATCCTCCTTGCCTGAAAGAGCTCAGTCAGAGTAGCTCTGGCCAACGAGCCCGAGTTTCCTTAGGAGCTGTTTCCATCTGTTCATCAAACAGAGCTGCTCAGCCGAGTTTGTGTCCAGAGTTCTCCCATCTCTGTTTTTTTGAATGTGTAAACAGTGCCATTGATGTTCTAAATCTGGTTAGGAAAAGGATGGGAGGTGGTGAGCTGGAAAGGTAATATTTTAATCTGTGTATTACTGTACGGTTGTGTGCAGGGTTACTGGCTGAAGGGAACCCTGTGTGGTTCTTCCGTTTGCTTTTGAGAGGGATTTTTTCTTTTCATGATGAAGTTTTCATGGCCATGAGCAATGTGGACAGGAAAGGGAGCATCCTTTCCATTAGCAGAAAAGTTAATACTTAGTCCTCTTGTCAGCATAACCATGAAGTAGCCCAACTTCTCAGATGCACATACATCTGCTGGTTCCAAAATAAGCTCGTTTTACTCTAATCCTAATTTACTGCCTTGCTAGGAAGTGCAACTTCAGACCTTCAGTGAACGAGGTGGTACAACTTCAGTTCTTCAGTAAATGAGGTGGTTTTTAAACTCTTCCTTTTGTAAAGAGGCAGGTTTGTGTCTGCTGCTTCCGCTGCAGGACAGATGGGTTGGGTAGGCAGAGGGCTGGGAGCAGGGATGTCAGGCATGCAGGGCTCTGCCCAGTCCACATGTTGGGCCTGGCCAAGCAGAGAACATTCCTGCGATGCTCACCCAGCCCTTCTGCGGGCAGATTGATGGATCGGGCAGCTTTTTCAAAGGTTTGCTGCTGTTTGCTGCTTGGGAAAGGGAGAACATGGGTTTTAAACCCAAATTTGTCACCTGGGCTGGCAGCTTTGGGATGTAATATTTGGGGCTTCCTCATTCATTATTCTGTCTTGTGAATCGTATAAAATATAAATGAGAACCAAGTTTCATTCCCTGCGTGTGCCAAGCAGGGAAAAATGAGGTGACCCAGTTATGTCCATTTCACAGCGTGTTGGGTGCAGAGGGACCAACATAAAGGATTTAGTCATTTATTACAGTTCAGTGAGAGATACAATTGTTGCAGCCTAAAGGACAGCTTTTGAAATGCATAGCCTGGTCTTTTTCAGAAGAGAGGAAGTTGTTCTTATCTGCCAAGTGAATGATGTTCTGAGCTTCCCAGTTCACCTTGCTGAACAGTCATACCTGGAGAGACCAGTTCCAGGCCGGTAGAACAGCGCGTACTGATGGCTTCATCACCTTGTGGCATCTCTTCCTTTAGCAGTAGTAATTCAGGGTATGACTGCCAGAAATTGAGCTGAAACTCCTGTATTTCTTGGCTTAGACAGATAAGTACCAATGGAAGTGTAATGGGCTTCTGGATGGTTTTGTGTTCTGCTTACTGAGGGTGAAAGGCACTTCTTTTCCAGAAAATTCAGGTTGAAATTGTTATTCATCCAGCTGAATCTTTTTTTTAACTGAAAAGGAGGTGTGGCTGACAACCTACATTTATTTCTAGATTCACGTTTTCCTAGGCCCATACCTTGTTCATTCTCTTGAATGAACAGCATTCGTGCTCAGTTAACACTGGGAATTCCTTTAGTCTGGTATGACGGTTTATGTTATTCCATCTCCCTGTTTGGGATCACACAGATCAATATTTCATCTTTCAAGGATTTTCTCATTCTTTCTCTTCACCACTTGTGGAGACAGAGGGACAGCAAGTCAGAGCTGGGTGCTGGCAGAATGAGCAGTGGCTGGGCAGGAGCAAAATGTGGGTATGAGTGAGACAGAGGGTAATTGTAACTGAAAGGAAGAATTACTGAACTTTCTCATATTTTGCACTTCTTCCCTCCCACCCCTAAAACACGCAGTTGCAAAGTGTTTTTAGATCTTATTTCTTAGGATTTGTTAGAAGTGAACAGGGAAGTGTTGGTGTATAATTGAAAATGGTGGATGTGTGAGCTGATGTTCATAATGGCTAGGAATTGGTTGGTACAACAAGGTCACCAGGTCTTGTAGTTGTATTTAGCTCTTGTGCATTTAAGAAAAAGTAATGATGTGATTTATTTGGCTTTCTTCAGTCATCTTGGACCTTTAGCAGTGAAGGTGCATGTCGTGGAGAACACTCACACTGTGGGTTAGCAGGGAGGCTCTCAAAATACAGCATGCAGGCATGGTGGTCTGCCCATTGATTTGCTGAATTCCTCTGAATTTACAGGGCTGGGAAAACATTTCATCTTCCAGTTCTAATTTGTGTTTGGTGTTAAATACAATAAATGCATAATGTTACTGATTTAGGGGAGGATTGGGGGTTTTAATGGTAGCCATAAATACTGTGTTATTGTGAGCAGGTTGTAATACATCTCAGAAGTGGTTTGCTCCCATGTGCTTGGCTTTTCCTTTAGGAAGGAGCTCTCACAGGTGTGCAGGAATATCTGCCCACTGCGTGGGGTTGCTTTGAGGTGTGTAGGAATGAGAATGGCAATTAGTTACTGCAAATGGTCCTGTTGTCAGTGCTGCAGATGATATTCCTTGGGACTGCATGTTTAGAGGGCAAGAACAGTGAGAGCTAATTAACAAGGTATGGTTTAGATAGCTCAGGCGATTTCTCTCCTCTGGAGAGGTGAAATGATTCTTTTAAATGATAAAATGCTAAGGCTCAGCTGCCTCCAGCACTTGTTAGTTAGAGCTGCTGCAGAGAACATCTGGGTGAAGCTAGCAGTGTTTTGAATGCAGCTTTTTTCTCTGATGAATCTGGTGTACAGAATATTGAGTGGTAGGAGCTACCCCTTCCTTGTTTCTCTGCTAGTAATGACACCTGCATGGGGTGGTGAACAGCCCTGAAGGACATTTAATTAGCCTAGCTCTGCTTTTACATACTGACATTTAAAGAAGGGGGGAAAAAAAAAAAGAGAATATGTTTAATAATGGTAAACTGGAGTTTGTTAACAAATGATGTGAATATGTGCATCTTCTCTAATCGGATACTTAAGTACAGCAACTTATGGTAATTAAAACACAGTTCTAGCTGTTTGATGCTGTCCTGAGTAGCAGGCTCTTGCTATTTCATAGCACATAACCCTGCCTGGGGCTGAGGGGTCGGAGTGATGATCACTGAGGTCCCTTCCAACCCAAGCCATTCTGTGGTCACTAAAGATTTGCACTATCACTCCATTTGTGAGCTTGAATCATTTGTCTTACATGCTAACGTGATGGACAGGAAGAGTTGTAAACTTTTCTTGAGCCCTGGTAGCCAGTGTCAGATGTGAAATGTGCCACAGATACCTGTAACAAGTCCAAAGGAAAGAAATAAGAACATGTAACTGTTAGCTGATGTTGGCTGAACACTGAGGTCGGTCTGAAAAATTTTGTGCAGAAGACTTTCTGGCCCAGCATTCAGATGCCAGTCTTGTAATTACTATATTCACATAACGTATGCATAGTTGAAAACAGTAATTTTGGTCTAAGTCACCATGCTTTCCATTTCTCCATAGTTTTCCTCAAATCTTTGGTAGGCTATGCCTGTTTTTTTAATCTAGAAGAAATTACATGTCAGTACTTCTGTTGGCTTTTTCAGGGAGCTAGCTTTTGTGCTTAAAGCTGCTCAAGGACTGCAAAGCTTGAATGCCTCCCATTCTCTAGTGATTGGGAGTGTCACTGGTATGTACAGGGTATGAATCTTGCAGATGTAGAATGGGTTTACCTTTAAAAAAACTTACTCTTTAAATATAAGAAAGGATCTACAAACTCCAGGCAAAGTTTTGCTGTTATGAATTTTGGCTGCACCTTGATATAAAGCAAACTGTGCTGCCAGAGGTATTGGGTAAAGTTTTCTGCTTCTTTTTCCCTTTTCTTTTTCTAGGTTTCAGCTTTTTATGTTCCTATAATGTTTTGCTTCTTTGTTTTCACAGGGCTGTTTTCTCATACTTCTTTCTCCAAATCTGGCAGTTAGTTGGGAGTGAGCACGTGCATTATCTGATCTTCTGTGGTTTTTAGAAGCAGGTATGTTGGCAGGGAAAGTTCTTAATGTTGTACTCACTTGGGAGGGGGCAGGGTGGGGATGAGGGAGCTTTCCTGAGCTGTGTACCAGAAAAAGGATTGCAGGGTTAGGGAAATTCTGCTGGGTTGCGTTGCATGATGTATGGCAAATTAATGTAACTTTCCTGGGAAAGCCAAGTGGGTAAGAACTTCAGTAATGCTTTCCAATCCTTCTTTTCTAAAGATGGATTGTATTGTTTTAGAGCATAGACCGGTTTTGCAAGTGGTTGTGGAAATGTCCTGATGTAATTGCACAACATATATGGTGGGTAGCGTTTGTCATCCTAAAGGGCATCTGCATGTAGCAGCAATGGAGAGGTGTTTTTCAGTCTCAATATTGTTTTAAGACTGTTGTCCTACTTTTTAAACTGTCAAATAGAAAAAGCTGTGGTTGCTGAGACTTTGACCCAATCTGTGCAGTAAACGAAAAGCAAAGCACTGTTGCTCTCTAATCTTACTTTATACATGTGTTGCAGTAGCTTTTGACTTGTCTGAGTACTTTTATTTCCCTCTATGTTGCTACTGCCTTTGTAAGGTATTCCCTGAATGAGAAGGTTTAATATTTTTTATTCTTCCAGTTAAACATGTAGGTCATGATGAATCCACCTCGGTTAAAACTCGCTTTGGAAGAACCAGATTTAAATAGGAGCATTACATCACCTCTTTTAAAGTATTTGATAAATTAACAAACGACTTGAAGGCTGTCATGCAGGAAAAACATGAATAACTAAATGTATTTAGTGCAGATCTTTGTAATGCCCAGTGTGTAGTGGGATACTGAGTGCAGATCTCCTGAGCTGGCATACGGTGGCATTTTCTTGATGCTTGTGTGTAGTGCCACCTATTGGTAGATAGTCCATATAACTTCCATTCTTAAACCGTAGGTGTGTTGTGGTTGCTGGTTTTGTTAATTAAAAACAAAAGACTTCAGGCTTAAGAATTAACATTTCATCTACTTTTATTTATCCAACGTGTGCTTCGTGGCTGTGCGTTCTGCATCCTGTTTTCATGTTGGCTGTTGTTATTTCTGGAGAGGAGAAACAAAATCACAAGCTCCTCTGTCAGTAATTCTTTCATCTAGGATTCATGTTGCTCTTTCTCTACTTCTGCAGTAATGTAACAACAGATAATGAGCCAGTAATGTCTGAACATCAGCCTCTTTCAGTCTCTGAGTTGAGCAAGGCCCAATTCAATTATTCAGATTTCTTTCAAGGATTTCTCTGAAGCTTATGATTCCTCACACTTGTAGTCAGTAAGTGCTCCGCCTGCTGTTGAAAAATAGTTCAGGAATTAAACTTGCCTGTTGTTGCTATTATACCCCATTACCTGTTTTGATTTGTCTTCTTCTGATCTTATCACATCTCCAGGAAATCCAGGAGCTGGCAGGAGGGGAATGAACCGTGAGGGCGTCCCCGGAAAGAGTCCGGAGGAGATGTACATTCAGCAGAAAGTGAGAGTCCTACTCATGCTGAGGAAGATGGGATCAAACGTAAGACATGCTGTCACAGCCTGTGCTTTGTGGCTTTCCAGATGTAATTTTGTAATAACTGGGGTAGTGCTCTCTGAGTTGGGTAGGTGATGGTCTGGCTTTATTACTGAGTTGTTTTAGCTATCATTGATTTAGCCGTTACCTGTGATTAAATACAGTTGAGGGGTTTTTTGCATAAATATGAGGGTTGTGGTACTTGAATCTAAATCTGAACATCTGATTATTTCTCTACTTCTAGCAAAATTTTTCATTATTGTGAAACCAGGAAAGTAAGGCAACTGTTTTAAAGTGACTTTGAATCTCTCAATGAATGTGGAATGTACCAGTTTGCAGCTGTAGCCTTGCTGGTATCACAATTTATCTGAATATTAGTTAGCTTAAATGGTTGAAGATTAAAGTAGAGGTAACTCTGATGATTCCTACTGGAAAGTCATAGATGATGTCTTGAGTTTTTCTTCATTTTCCTTTCTGCTGACCAACTCTTTGTACATTTTCAGCTGACTGCCAGTGAAGAGGAGTTCTTGCGCACGTATGCAGGTGTAGTGAATAGCCAACTTAGCCAGCTGCCTCAACACTCAATTGATCAGGGTGAGTGCTGGATTTGTTTGCCTTGTGTTCATTTCATTTGTGAGAAGAGTTTCAGAAAATACTGAATTTAGGTTCCTATCTTTTTGTAGTAATATACTTCCTATTTAAACTCATCCTGCAGTTTGAGGTGTGTGGTTCATTTTTTGCTCTAATCTTTGGAAAAGAACTGGAGTGTAATGTTCAACAGAACTCAAACTTTTGAGATATGGTACAGACAGAGATAACTGCTGCTGTGAAACTTTCATACTTGTTCTGGTAAATTATGATCTGTTTAATGAACTATTTTTGTTAGTTGCCATACGATGTTATTTTAATTGGATTTGTTTGTGTTCCTATTAAGGAGATGAAGTAGGTGTTGCTTTTGTGAATTCTTTACAAAAGTCTTGGTAAATAACTCCATGGTGTTATTCTGAAGCTGCAGATCTGTTCTGAACTGAATGCTGCTTTCTGCATGGCTTTTTTTCATCTTCATATAGGCCCTATGCCAGATCACATTCATAATGTGGGATTTGGTTTGGGAGGAAATTTTTTCTTGTGCTGAAAATAACTGAGTTAAGGAGAAATTTAATATAGATCTGAGACATTTAGAAAACCATTAGGAAACCTGTATAGACTTGCACTTCAGTTCTAAGCGTGTATTCATTCCTCACATAGCTGGGGGATTGATGCAGATAGATATGCTTGTGTATTTTGGCTCAGAATTCCTAAACTTTTCTGCCAGTCTCAAATGAAAATTTGCCTCTTTCTTCTCAAAAACTGAGGAACACATTGAGATGAGAACAACTGCATTTGTTACCAGAGAGCTGTGATGCTGCCTCCAGCAGTTGGCTTTTGTCAACTTTATTCCTAAAACAGTTACATTTCACACAGTTTAAAAAAAAAAAAAAAAAAGAAAAGAAAAGGTATGCTGAATGGTCTCAACTTTAGCAATAAAGAGATACTAAGAACAGGAGTCCAGCCAGAGGACAGAGATGCTTGTACAGCTGTGTTCCTATACATCTTCATCTAACTTCCTTGTCTAAGCTGTCTGGTTTTATTATCTGTAAAATTAGCCAACTATTTTCTTTTCAGAGGGCTTTGGAAACTTTATTCTTATATTGTTGGAATGCTTTAGAATTCCTCATGCGGTGTTGTAGAGAAAGCTCAAAGTATTGTGCTTCTGGTTGCTTTAAATCTGTTAAGATAACACTAAGAAGAACCCCCAAAGGATGCTCTTTCTGATACAGGCCATAAACTTGCAGCTGAAAAAATGAGTATTGACATAAATTTTAAATTGAATCAAAAGAGAGATCAACAGATCAACAGTTAGTTGTTTTTCTAGACTCCCTAATCAAGCAATACAGGAAATGTAAGAACTTTATACTTTGTTCAAAAAGTTGTCTTTGTTCCAGACTTGTACAGATGCCAAATGATTTCTCTGTCATCATTTTCTATAAGTCCTTGAGAATTCTTCAGACTCCTTCCCCAGAGAAGTGAAATCCTCCATGTTAATGCTCACTTTGATCTGATCTGTGATGCTGCTGTCTTTCTTCTGTGATTTGACCCTGCGATCCACCTTCAATCCTCCCAAGTTATAATTAAACTGTTGGCCTCACCATGAAGATTTTCCTTGGTATAAGAAAACAGAACAAAGAAAATATTTAACTCTTCAGAGAGGTGGAAAAAGCCATCAGTCCTTTCTATAACCAGATATGCCATCTTTCCAAATTAATTGGAACTTAGCATGAAGAAAAATTGTAATGAGGAAACCAGCCAAATAGCATTTCCTTTGGAGGAAGGTGAAGCTGCAGCATGCTGTAAAGGCGCAAGCAACTGTAATTTATTGCTCAGGACTTTGATCCCTAGAGAATCTCTGCAGGTTTGTTGAAGTCAGTTATGCTGACACTACTCTTTGCTCTTTTTCATTCCATGATTTTTCTTTATTGAGAATCAGCACCAGTTGCAAGAACCCTTTGGCTGTAGCCTAGTGTAGGTGAGTTATGAAGTGTAGATTCATCATGAAGTTATCAAAAATAGATTGGAAAAAATCTGTAGGTGTCCAATTTGCCATCGAAAGGGAGATTTCATCTCCACTAGATGGCATTATCTTGCACCAAAAAACACTATCCCAGGTCCCAGCACTGAGGTACTTCAATGCTTTATTTTCTTCAAGGTTGCTTAAAGGAGTTTTCTTCCCTACTTTTCTAATGTTTCCTCTGAAGGATTTTTTTAATCTTTATGCAGTTTGCCACACACACACGCTAAGAGGTGTTGTTACTAAGGAATTACTTACAAAGACCTTCCAGGTTAGTGGATTTCACAGTCTTCCTTCCAATAAAAGGACCAGTTGATTCCAGCCCCACCAATCTTTGGAGGCCTTTTTCTCCAGCAGGCACACATGGGGCAGGAAGCTATTTCATACTCTTTTCTGTCCCAAAAAGGGAATGACCTTCCTGACCCCAAAAGCTTTGGTGCAGACCTGCACATCTTAGTGCATCAAACGTGCTGCAGTCTGGACCCACATATGCAGAAAGCTCTGTTTTGTTTTAGTTAAGAATGTAGGTGAATGGTCTTGAGTTTTATAAGTACATCACAGTCTCATTAATTTTTTCCTTGTTGTGTATCCATGAAATACACATGAAATCTTAGAATGACTGTCTTCCTGTGGTCTCTCACAGAAGTTACCCAAGGTGAGACTGCTGAGCTGGTTTCTGTATGGTGCTCCCTGCTGGCTTTTGATAAAGATCTGTCAGCTCCTTACTTGAGTCTGTTTGGTTGCAGAATGGCTTCCCATGGTCAGTGTGTCCATGCATAGTTGCAGCTATGTGACAGTGCATGGGGGAGTGAACTTTCCACTCTGAGTTGAGCTGATTGCATTGCTGGGTGTATTTGTGTAGATCATAGGAGAATAACTGATGGCTGGGGCTGCACTTATTTCCTTTTGCTATCTAGTATGTGTTCCAAACTTCACTTTTGCAGAGCAATATGTATTAGAGCAACACATCTGTGAATCTTGAATGACTACAATAAATATTTCAGTCTTAAAATAATTCTTTCTATTCCAGCTCTCCCCTGAAGCATTTAATACATGAATTTAACATTAATCAAGAGCCTAAACCTTCGTACCATGTTGTTGATTTAACATTATAACCATTTTGGTTTTGGATCATTTCTGTAATATAGTTAACACATATATGAAAGTGCAAAATATATGGCATTTTTCTTTGCTGAAAGACTTTTTTTAGATGACACCTGTGGCTTTTGTTGTTGTTTTGTTTTCATGGCTCCAGGAATAACTGAGGAATCTGAAGCCATCCCTCTGCAAGCAGTGCCAGTGCTAGAGGGGAGGATTTGATCAGGAGCTGTTTCAAGATACAGCTTGTTAGTCTTCTTCCCTGCATTGCAGCATCAACTAGAGCAGCTCAGCCTCGTTAAGTTTCTTGAGCTTGAAATGATGAAACTAAAGCTTTCTTACATGTTTTTAACAGAAGCAAAACACTTCTCAGGAAGTGAAGTACACAGAAACACCTGGGAGGGGGAAAAAAATCCTGCTTCTCAGTTGCTTAAATTGCTAAATGGTAGGCTAGCACTTGGCTGCCTTAAGTCACTGCTCTGTGGTGTATCTGAAAATGGAAGCTATGCAGCTAGTAAGCCCAATATGTGAATTATACCAAGACCTTGGTGATTACAGCTCTGTTGTTCCTATAGCAACAGGAGTGTCGTGCTGGTTCTTGAAGAAAGCCGGTCCCTTAGGGAGGGCAGTGCTGAGATGCAGGCACACGCCTTGGCTGGGTTAGACACGTTCTCTGGATGGTAGGGTATTAAAAATGGATCTAGGCTGCTCGTGAAGTTAACAGGAGGACTGCAGAAATACCAGATAGTGGTGGAGAAATCGAGATATTAGAGCTCTTAGCACACAGCATTTCCTTCCCTCTGAACACCATGCGTGTCTGACTGTGTTCCTCCTCTCAGCAGCACATGTCGTATTTTTAGAATGCCAGACTAGCAGGATATTAATACTGAGAGGTTCACAGAAGAGTTAATGTTTAGTACGCAATTGCTGGATGGTGATTAAAGGAATGTATATTTAAAGATCTTGGGGAAAGCAAAGAGATATGTGTATATATATATGTTTTCCATTTGGCATCTTTCTGACATTCATAGCACATTTACCTTTCTGATCTCTGAAAGCTGTTCAGGTTTATTAATTTTGCAGGTGGCTGCAAACAAAACAGTTCTATGTATCTGTACATCATTTCAAGAACACTTGGACCTAGCAATAGAAGGTAACATCTTGCCTGGGGTCAAGGCAATGTATTTTTAATCCAGCTTGTACCCGGCTGGCTTGGTGTAGCTGCCACTGCATCCTTGCTCTGGAAAGGTACAAGTTAAATTATTGTTAACTGTAGGAGGGAGAGGGGTGTGAAAGTGTAAGGCAGAAATGGGAAAAGAATTTTGCTTTTGAGATTTTGAGGCAATGAATGTTTTGCTCATTAAGGAGGATGACAGGTATTGGGTATGTGCAAGTCCCTATTTTAGTGTAGAAATGTGTGCCCAGAAAAGGAGAGGTTTATGCAGAGGGGAGTTGTGTGTACAGAGTGCAGGGTACATGTTGGGTATACATGTACCTTCTTCATTGTTCTATACATTAATTAGTGGAAGTGCAAAGCTCAGTGGAGGATGTGCAAAAAGTAAACATGGCCCACAGTCCTATTGTCTAAGTTGCAGATTTCTGGCAATGTGCAGCTTAACTTTATAACCTGTGCTCTGCTTTTTCAATTTTTTACTTGATTAGAAAGAAAACATCTGCTGTGGGAGCTGAGTGAGACTGTTGCAGAGGCCTTATTAATTAGTACTTTAATCCCTCCTTTCCCTTCACTGCACAGAAACCCCTACTCCATTCTCTGGACATGTTTGTATTTGTACATGAGCACAAGAGGCTATAGAAGTGCTTAATGAGCAGCCTTATTCCATGGGTTTCATTTAGCTCTGTCTAGCTTGGGTTTCAGGACTGGATGTGAACAAAACCTGCTCTTGTGCTGAGAAACATGGACAGACTGTTTCTAGAGAAATGTCTCTGGGTTTTGTTTTTTGGCTACAAGATATCTTCAGAAATACTGTCTTACCAAGTGGCTCCTGGAAGAGTATCCCTCTCACAATAGCAGAGTGCCCTTACTCAAGCAAGACGGATATTATTCAGCAGAGAAGCTTTTCATTCTGCTTTCAGATCACTGAAATACCACTAGATATGCTTCTCGAAATCACATAGTGCCTTCTCTTTGAGGAACTCAAAATGCTTGACAAACTCATTTGCTGGAACCTTACTGTTTGTATTGGAGACGACGGGGGGTGAAACAAGCTGGCAGATTGGCACTGCTGTGAGGCACACGAGGTGGGTGCTGTTCTGCTGGGTGCTGTGCCTTGGGATTACCTACCTGCTCATTGGTCTGCCTTGAAGATATTAGCTTTTATTTGATGGATCAAATGGTCCTTTATAGTGCGATTGCCTGAGGCTCTTGCAAATGGTACTTTGCATGTATTTGCAAATCAAACCATTGGTTCTTCTACAATGGAGAAAGGATCTGAGGAGGGAGCTGGAAGTAATGCTGCTCAGAGTTATGCATGAAGTTCATTCTTTACTGATCTTGTATGGGGCAAAAAAGCCTCCAAGGTGTTTTCTTCATGAATTCAGGCAACTTTAAAACTACAGTTACTGTAATTACATCAATGGCAAGGCAGGAATACTGCCTAGTAGCTTCTGTGCTGTTAGCTTTGGTTGTGAAAGACTGCAGCCTTGAATTCCAGACTAATTCTGCATCCCATTGATCTCCATTGTCATCTAGGATGCATACGTACATAGTAGTAATGCAGTAATGCTATGGGCATTTAAGCATTTTCTACATTTTTATGCTGTATTCTTTACTCTAGCCTTGCTTTATTCTTCCAAATAGAACATCATTTTATAATTTGACTTTTTCTGCTTTCTGATTGTATTGGCAAGCCGTGCTTCTTCTGTTCTCTTCTCCTGTTGAGTCCAGGCAAATGGCACATTACCAGCGCATGCTGACAGTGTCACTGGCATTGAGGCTGTGCCACATGGGCCCAGAATATGAGAACAGGAACTGGTGAAGTGAGAACCTGCACTTTGGTGAGAGCTATTTTGATTGTAAAGCCAGAATGAAGTGCGGAATTCCCGGCGTCCTTTGCCGAAAGCTATTTCTGCTCATCATGTGCTTCCAACTGCTGTTTGTTCACCACAGCAAGCTGTGCAGAGAGCAGCACTGAGAGCTGGGCTTGCTCAGGGCAGGCAGGAGTGCTGCCCAGTGGGTTTGTGGGGCTGTGCAGCTGGTAGGGAATGGTATTTCTACGTGAAATTCATGAGAGTGCCTGTAAGAATGATTTTGTTCGTATTTAGCCTGTAGAGAGGGGAGATGTCAGGAAAACAATCAACATCTGTTAGATAATCCAGCTCATCTCCATGCCCATGCGACGTCACCACTGATGTTGCTGTTGCTAGGCTGCTCCAGCTGCTCTGGGCTCACATAGCAAAGCCTCTGCGGCTTGAAAGGGGATGCATACAAAATGCAGAGGCATAGGCTGTGCTTCATGTGAACTTGCTTTGCTAATGATTTCAATATCGTTACTCCCTCTCTCTTCTTGGCACAGGCTTGTTTTATCAGAATCTTTAGAAGTAAAATCCTTTTCCTGTAGAGGCCAGTGGCTGTAGTATTTATGGTCTTGGAAGAAAAAATGTCATCATGGCAACTTGTGAATTCAGAGCTGGATTCTGGTGCTGTGTGCCATTAGTGTTTTGATCAAGGAAAAAACAGTTTGTGGAGGAGATGAAAAGGGAGAAGGCCACAGTGCTTCTATGTGTTGGCAAGAGGGAGCACCACAGCAGTTTTTGATGTAGTTCTAGAAAATGTGGGTCCTGCATATGAAAAACAAATTACTGCTCAGTAGTTAATATGTATTCCTTTGAGTACATAAAGCAAATAAATTGTGAAGTGTGTAAAAATAAATGTAGTCACATTTCATAAGCATTGATTTAGTTTTTAAGGGTATTAGCAGGGGGGAATTAATCACCTCTTTCTCTCCTTTTAAGTCCATTCTTCCTGCTGTATCACAACTAAAGAGCAAACTAGAGAACTGAGAAGTGACATTTTGGCTGGCATTCATACAGCTGTAAGAGATGAGGACTTCTTGTTAGCCCTCTTTTACCTTGTGTGCCCCAAGTTGCTTGGGGCACAGAGCTGAACTCTGCTGCTGGATGTGCTCCAGGCAGAAGGCTCTGGAGAGCTTCATGTGCTGATGCTCCATCCATGCTGAATCTGAGCTTTCCAAACCCCAGTAAAAGATATCTGCAAAGCTGATCACTGATCTGAATGGCACAGGCAGGCAGCGTTGCTCATAGCATTTCCTACTTGGTTGTCTAATCCCATAATAGAGGCTTTGAGGAAAACCTTATTAAGCAAAATTATCCCAGGCAGACCAAATTAATTAATGAAGGCTAAAATGGTCATTTTGAGTCATCTGTTGCGCTTAAGTGTCTCAGATCATTTGATTTTTTAGAAATTATACAGACAGTGACTGGTGGTTTCATCATATTTTCTAATTGATTAAATAAATGCTGTTAGAGAATCTACAGATGAAAGAGAGCATTTACTTTTATCTGACTTTGTTGAGGATCAAATTTTTACCAGAAATGAAAAACGTTGCATTCAGCCCTTCAGGGTTCTTTCTCAGTTCTTGTCTAGACAAGAGATTTTGATTTAAATTGCTGATTTGACACTGCCACGTGATGTGCTTTTATTTCCCCATTGTCCTGAAGAAGTCTCTCCTTAAGTGCCTGTTAGACCGTGCTCTATATTCAGGAAGTCTAGAAAGCTGATTTTTTTTCTAAATATCTTGTGTTATCTTTTTTGAAGAATGAGAGCTTAGCATGGAATGCTCTTTACAAGCCTTTATCAGACACGATTCTCCACCTGTTTAGGGCTTCCTGCTATAAGTGCCCACTTGAAAGATGATGGAAGACTTGGAGATGGTTCACAGGAAGGTAATAGCACGTTAGAGGACATGAGTTTTGATGGCAGTTACCTAGCTGATGGCCTCAATTGAGGAAAAGAATTGAAGAACTGAACCCACACACTGAACTCTTCTGGAAAAGATTTCTTTAGGTTAGGGGGAAAAAAATTGCTTAGCAAAGGTAAGTCCCAGTTCAAAAATAAGAAAACACAGCCTTCTGTTCTCTCTGTGCTCCTTCCTTTCATGATGATTTTATGCACGTACAGGATTGCAGTTTGGATACTGCATTTATCTACTGTTCTTTAACAGAAGTAATCATGGCACACGTTTTTCTGTCTCTATTACAGGTGCTGAGGATGTTGTGATGGCATTTTCCAGGTCAGAGACAGAAGATAGAAGACAGTAATTATAGGACACCTGAATGACACAGAGCTGGAGAGAACAGTGTGATTCCTGAAGATAGAGAAGGATGGCTGAGCGTTAATAAGTTCCTTTGCCCACCCTAAGTTTTCCATAAGTTCTCCTCCTTTGTAATTTTGCTTCCCTTTGTCCAACCCTCAGAATGCATCTCAAAGCCATCTGTTCCTATAAGTTTTTGTTACTCAACTGGGCTGTGTTAAGTAAGGACAAACCTAAAGGTGTATTTTTGATTGGCTCAAAGGAACAGACTGTGATTGGCTAAAGGAAGACAATTTTTAAACTTGACCAATGAAAACCTTTTCTCTTACTTTATTTTCTATTCTAAAGTCTCTTGACATCCTACTTCTAGAGAAGCTTTTCATGCTGTGGTGCTTATTTAGGTCAAGGTTGTGAATTTGAAGAGGGTTTGATTTGGCGGCGTGGAACTGGAAGCAAGTTGTGGTTGGTTGACAGTGCAAATGCTTTATCTTCAGTTGGCTTGCAGGTGTTTTGCTGACATCAACATTTTCATTGCAGAAGGCTGATGTTTTGGTGCGTTGGCTATTACTTTATCCTTACTGACTTGGGGAAAAAGACAAATGTGCTTTGCAATATTTATTACATCTATACATGTATACATGCTTGCTTGCTTGTTTTTTGTTTGTTTTTGATTGGCTTTGAAATCATGTTTTTCCTTCCCTCTTGTCTGCAGTGTTTCTGATGCCATCAGTTTTTCCATACTCATCTGCTCTGTGGCCTCAAGCTCTTTTGGGAGCATGTGTTGAAAGTGTGTTTAGTTCAGTAAGCCTACCTGTTTCAGCTGGAACATGGAGATCACCAGCCATTCTGTGCTTCTGTGTGGGCTGTGCTGTGAACTCCTGGTTAATCTGGTCGTTCAGGTGGCTTCGCTCTTTGCTTCTGACAGAGGAGCTGTAGGTATTTTGCAGGAATTGCAAGAATGAGATCTATGGCTGTGACGTGAATTTGCCAAATTTGTATAGAGAATATGTGAACTTGTTTAAAATACGACATATAGTTCCACTTTAACCTTTTAATTGCTGCACGAGACTAGCTCTCATACAAGGGAAAATTAATGATCGTTAACTTATGTCCAGCTTTCACCGGGCTTTAATAAACTAAGTTCCTAGTCACTTGAAAAATTATATGTGGTTTGGCTCCCTCAGACTGTTTGGTGAGATGGAAATTATCTGGATCCTGGATAATAGCATTTTTCTCTAGGCACTGATCCAAGAGGCAGCAGCACTGCGTTAGGCTGTCCAATGGTGAGTGACAAAAGACACTCAGGTTTACTATTTAGTAGTTGCAGGGCCTTCAGACACACACAGATGCATTTACAAACTTAAAAACCTGCAGTGAAATTAGTGCACTGACTGTTCAGGGATCTGCACATAGACTATCAGAAGCCTAAAATTCCAAGCACTGCTGCCTAAAACCTAGCACTTCATTTCCTCTGGTGTGTGCAGGTCATTTGTACAATACTTCCAGATTTTCCCATGGGTTGCACTGATTTTAAGATGTTTGAAAACCTATTAAAGCAGAAATCCATTCATTCACCTGTTGCTGGCTCTTTTCATGTGGTGGTTAATTATTTGGAGTAACAGCTCTGGAATCTGTGACAACGTGACCCTTTTTCATGGCAAGAAGTTCTGACAACAGGATGCTGTTGTGTCTCACAGTGGGGGAAGAGCTTGAAAGGAACCATAGAATGCGTGCAAAAGGAAGAATGGACTTGTGAGCATGAGGAGGGAATTTATCTTGAGCTAATAAATATGTAATGAGAACAACTGTACACCTATTTATGAAAGAAGATCCTTCTGATTCTGTTACAGCTTCATAAGGTTCAATGTGGAAGTTTCTCTTTACCCCCTGTTTGCTGGGGCTGAATAAGAAACGATTTCATTAAAATAAACCAGGAACAGGCCCAAATGATTCTTTACATCTTGATTGCCTAAGAGGCATTTTAATCTCAATTTTATTGTAAACTGGGCAGGCCATAAAGGGTTAATTTAAGGGGAGATGAGTAGTTCTGATGCTGGCTGGTATGAGTGGGCTGGGTTGTGGTGGCCTGTTGCTGTCAAGCTAACATGCTTCCTCCCTGTGTATCTATGGCATTGCTGAGCTGTTGAATCTTTTCAAGGAGAAAAGTGAAGTGTTTATGTGGTTTAATCTTTTCACTGAAGATGTATCTGTTGGGGGGGGGGGGAAATTACAGATTTTAATAGCTTCTCTTGTTTCTTATCCATTTCTTACACTGCTGACCAACGAAATGGAGAATGTTTGCTTCACCTCTGTGGAAGACTTACGTAGACTCCAGTCTTGGATTATGAGTTACGTGTTGAGGATATATTGAGAAATGTCAGCATGTTGTGCAGCAGCAGTGTGCTTTGGGATCCAGAACCTGGGAGAAATCTGGTCTCTTGAGAATATTTGTTACCTGTTTGCTCTTCAGCTCCTCACAGATGATTTCTTACCTTTAAACCAGGGCAAGAATGTTTATAATAAAGGATTGCTATATAAATCAGGGAGAAAGTAGTGGATATTCTGCTTGAATTGTATGTTTAATTATTTATCTTCCTGCTATGAAAGCTAAGCACCTATTAACACTGCAGAGCCTGGATTAATTGGGAGGGAGAGGAACCTGCACAGAGTACATCAGCACAGCTGCCTTGTTTATTGCATATTGCAGTTGCAGATTTCTCCATCTTTACCTTCTGCTTCTGCCTTCTTAGGCCAACTGTTATTGATAGAGAGAAGAAATGCAGGGCTGTACAGGTCAGAGGTTAGCACAGACCTACAGAGAAAGATATTTATAAATACAAAAGTCTGTGCAGTTCAACTACCAACCAAATTGTGCTTAAAGCATTCAGTTCAAAAAACACACATCTTTTAGGATGTCTTCTTGGGATGACTTGTTCCTTCAGATGTTCCAAATGTGCTGTTCAGCTTAACTTATCTTAACAGGCTTATAATCTGCCTTTCTACACACAGTGTTTTCCAAAACTTGAGGAAAAGATTTAGAGCTGAATCGGATTCCCCTCTCATCGCTCTCCAGATGGGCAGCAATTGCTGTAATTGTCAGTAAAGGTCACTGTGTCTGTGAGCACTGCTCATTGTAAAGGAAAATGAGACTCCTTGCCATTCATATAAGCCTTTAGAGTGATTCTCCCAGGTCCTGCAATAAACCCGGGAGTAGCAGGGCATGAGCTGGTGGCATAGCAACACTTGGGAAGGAACTGTTGTCTGAAAGAGGCTGGACCATGAATAAAATAAGATTTGAGATGATGTTGTCCCTATCAGGTAAGTAATCAATGTAAGTTGTTGCCTTCTCTTGCCTGTGTGAAAGTTTTTAATGCTTAACCCTTAAATCTGTTTTAGTTTCATAAGGTCAGTGTTTCTAATTCACCAGCAGCCTAAATAGTTCTGGTGAAGGCTAAAGATTAAATGGCCCATGAAATTCAAAGACCCCTGTCACACATAGCCAAGATCATCCTCAATAAGGCTTCAGGGTCATATGTAGGATAAATTTCTACAGCTCTTGAGAATTGTGTTATAAGAACAGAGCAGTGTTATGTCTGAAGTTATCAGTGTTCTTGTAATATACTGGGAAAATGGGGGGAGGGGAAAGGCCAAAAGTTGAAAGCTTTGATTCCAATGAATTTGTATTAGAAATTATTTTATAGAAGATGTACTGAATGCCTGAGCAAGGAGGGCAATCTGTGATGTAGGTTATTTTAAGATCAGTCCTTGGGCTTTTTTGGTCTCTTGCCCCTAAAGGACTGTGGCAGAGCTGGCAGCAGCAGAAACCAGCAGTGCACTAAGAACAATCTCTGAAGGTTTAACAAATCTTCAAAGTTTCTACAGAAGAAAACATCTTGATCTCACTGTTCTTGATCAGTAACAAAGTATTCCAAAACTTAGTTGTTAATACAAATCTTTTAAGAAGCTTTTTAAAAACTACAGTTATTTGAGCTAGAAGAGTACCAGGATCACTGCAGAATTGCATAGCTGCTGCCTTGGTGGAATTTTTGCTTCGTGTTGTTGATTTTCAGATCAACTGACAGCAATATGATCTGCACCTCACCCGAGCATCAGCCTGTTCAACATCACAATTCAATGGGACGTATTTTTTTTCAGTGCTGTAGTCAGAGGTGTGTGCTGTGTGCAGGGGAAGTTCTTCCCTGTTCACAGTGTAAACAGGAAATAAATTATTTTAAAATGTATTTTCAAGTCAATGTTTTAAGTTCACCTTCCTTCTGCTGCAGAGGAATGTTAAGGATCCTGTCAGCATGCCAGGCTCCATTATTTCAGTAAACTCTTACAGTGCAAACGGTCTCTCGTGAAACCAGCTTTTAAATCATAGACTCACAGAATGGCCTGGGTTGAAAAGGACCTCAATGCTCATCTCATTTCAACCCCCCTGCCATGTGCTTGGTCACCAACCACCAGACCAGGCTGCCCGGAGTCACATCCAGCATAAATACATTATAATGAGTCAAATTTTGGTAACCATGAGTCACACAGACATAGTGCTGACAAGTATTTGCTGGACAGTTTTTTTTTCTTGCAGTCTGTGGTGCAAAATGAGCTTAGTGCATGCATCCTGCAAATCTTTATCCTATGTATCTGTAACTTTCAAGCTGTAGTGAATAGGTCACTGCATTGTTGTAGTTCTCCCAGGCCTGCTTTAGACTTGCTGTATAAGTATGATGTGTCCATACAGACATCTTGCAGTACAGTTTTCCTTAACCTTCCTTTTGTTGCTGATGCTTTTCACATTTACAGATGTGGGTGTGCTGTATACAGCGAGGAGCGCTGTTATCGCTCACCGTGGTGAGAGAGGAGCTGGGATCTGTTTGCTGTCAGACTACAGCAGGTGCCATACAAAGACAGAAAAGACATCACCTACTCTGTCTTCTGAGCTCTGCTTTCATTTAGTTAGCAGCTGACTTGCCCTAAGCAGAATTCCTGCAGAATGTTATAAACAACCTGGCTGGCTTCTTTTGTAGCCTGAAGCACTTCAATTTGGGGATTTGTTTATTTTGGAAGAAAGTTGGTTTTGTTGGCTTTTTTTTTGTTGTTGTTTTTTTTGAATCTTTTTAGTTTGGCTTGCTCACAAATTGTCTCATGTATCAGCATGAAATAGTTACGTGCACTGAGCTTTTTGCTGTCTTGACTTATTCCAGGTTGGTTCTCCTTGCTACTAAATGCTCACCTGTAAAATGCAGAAAGCCAATTCTGAGCCTGAGTTTTACAACTTCATTACCAACTCCAGCCCTGAACTGATGCATCTCCACTTCTTTAGTTTTTCACCTTGAATAGTTATTCTAGTGGAGTTAAAAATGCAGCAGACCCAACAGGGTCAGAAAAAGACAACTCAGTCCTCAGTACTGTAGAGATGCACCAGAATTAAAATGTGACTCTACAGCTTTTCTCACCAGTTGTTTTTTGTTGACATGTTATTGTACATTTATCCCGTAAGACAGGAGAATGCATGAAGTTATTTGATCATGCAGTGACATAGAAGCTTGTCTGGCTACGAACTGTGCACTGTAATCCATTTTCAGCTTTATGTGTGACCTCCTAATTGAGGGCACAATGGAAATTGCATCGAACGTGATTGGAATGGACAGTGGTAGCCAAGCATCGTCCTGCAGTCTTTTGTTGTGTACCTCAAGTGGCTGGAGCAGGCTGGCATAACTACATTTTGCCTAATCAGTGTCCAGAGTTCATGCTGGAAGCAGGTGCCCGGTGCCTGATCACAGCTAGTCGAGTAAAACAGTTCACAAAATAATCTGTGCTCTGTTTGATGTCTTTTCTATTGGCAAGATTCTACTAATTCTGATGTGTGCGAGGAGGAAGATAGAGGCAGGTCAGGAATGGATGGATTTCTGTAGGTGGAAGCATAAGAGGAGGATTCTCTGTCACTGTTGTCTTCTCATAAGCTGCTTTGAGCCTGGAGAAAGATGGTAATTAAAGTGGACAGAATCTTAAGCTTTTGACTTGCCTCGCCAGCAGCTCCAGGTTTCCCAGTCGTCTAAAATATCTGTGCTGCATGCTGGTTCTGTAGCACGCTCAGCTGCTTGCACTGGATGGGTGGACGGAGCCTTTTGTTCTGTTCTGGCCCCGACCTTGAAGTCACAATCATTTGAAGCAAGGGGGACATTTGGACATTACCATCCTGGCTGGTACAGCTACGTGACCATTGTTAAAAGAGGGCAAGACTTAACTAGCTGAGAAGCGTTTGGATGGACTGCATGCTGGTAACGAGCAGGAAGGGCTGTCTGGAGGTTTACAGACACCAACGTGAGCAGAGCTCACATACCTGCTCTGGTAAATAATCCAGTTAGCAGGGTAGCACTGCTATGTATGTGGAGATTCATAGTGCGTGTCCTTCCACGTCCTTTCTTGTGTCCTTAGAGACTTAAATAGAGAATTTGTCAGCAAAAGCACCTCGACTTAAGTAGCGGTGAAATGGATCACAAAGAAGGAGGTCTTTGGCATAGCATGGTCCTTACAGCTTAAAGTCAATGCCTTGAATTCAACTCGGGCAGATGGAGCATTAAATTCAACTGTGTCTGGTTGCTGTAGAGCAAAGCCACAAAGCTATCTCGAATGCAAGTATGATTAGATAGGTATCACTTGGGGATGTTCTAAAATGAAATGACACGTTCTGACATTCTTGCAGGAGATGCTATGCTGCCTTTGTGATCTGATGGATAATGTTTTCTGCCACCTGGGTAGAATAAAGAGATCATGTGTTTTCTTTCTTTCGTCTCCTATCTCAACAGAGCGCAGAGTTGGTTCCTGTCTGGACCTGAATTAATCTTTATGAAGATTGTTAATACCATTCTTGCTCCGAGCTACTGAAAAGAGAAGGGGAGCAGCAAGGGGGAAAGAGAGAGAGATTAAAGGGAAAAAAA